ATCCAACACATGCAGATCTAAAAGGAACCAACATGCACTTGGCATCTAGTCCCAACTTTTTTATTACCTTTACATCTCGATTCTGCCTATCAAAAGCAAGGACAGCTTCCGCAGAGTGTCTTGGAGGCTTCCAATGGCTGCACGCAAATCTTTGTGCTTCAAAAAAAGAAATGTAAAACCCAAAAATACACACAAAATCAATCAGAACGATCGGCAAGAGCTCCATCTTCAACCACACGACCAATACCAACAACAGCAGCAGCAGCGGCAGCAGCAGCAGCACTAGTACCAACAATGACAAGAATACTGTATAATATGCACACAGGTGTCCCTGATATATTTGGGTGAATCAGTGCAAATGTCCCTTACACTGGGTACAGTAGAAAATTGCTTTGGACGTCCGCCCACTTGAGACAAACAAAACCACAGTGTGCTGGCTCTGGCCTGGTCCTTGAGGTTCAAGTGGCTGAGCCACATCTGGAACCTATCCAACTTCCACATGGGCACTAGCAGCTGGCAAAGTATGGTGTTAATATGAAAGAGAGACTTGCTGCACTCCCACGTTACAACCTGACATATTCTTACAGTCTTACATGCAGAAACAAGAAATCAAGGTACGGTGAGCCCACACGATATCAACCCAAAGCCTCGTAAAGCAAGGTCTCACAAGCAGCACCTCTACTGGTCAACTGGTCAACAACATAGACACATGCAGCTTCATGTCATAGCACTGTCCGTACAAGTCTATCGGAGTACTCGGGAGCATTTCATTTCCATTGCTGCAACCTTCAAGAGCTTTGTCAAGCTTCATGTGTCGTGAAGAACAACTTCTAACCTACACTTGACAGGAAAGGCAGTGCTTCACAGTTCAGCACCAATCACAAAGAGGCAAGTAGTACACATTATATGCAGTACATGAATGGACCGACAATTAAACACCGTGTACTTCTCCAGCCTAGCCCTTGGGGCTGAGCAACTTCTGTGTCCATCTGCGGAGCAGCTTCTAGTCTCTTGATGACCTTGAATCCACAGCGACCGAGACCACTGGGATCGCCAGCACTTGGACCACTGGGATCGCTAGCACTCGGATCCCCACCCCTTCGGGCTCGACCGAGGCCTGAGAGGCGGCGACGAGTTTCGCCACTCGACGACTTTCACCCGACACCTCTAAAACGCCTGTGAAAGCCTCCAATCAAAGCCTGTGATAACAATATGAACGATGCAGGAGTTAGAATGAGGATTGTTTCTTTCCATCTGACTTCAAAGCACAACCCCCTTGACAGGCCCATACCTTCACAAACAGCAAAACAAGCGGCTTGAGTCCATTATCAATATCAAGTCCTGGATTCTTGTACAACAGAAAAATGAAGACACTAAAGCTGTCCTGGTCACGAGCTGTGTTTTCACAAGAAGGTCGGTCTACAGGGACATCAACCTGTCAGCACATGACAAAATTGAGAACAACTAGCAGAAGTTTTTTGACATCAAAAAGGACGCTCTTGCGTGTGCGTGTCATCTAATAGTACAAAACCCTTCACATGTCATTACATCGAAGGCACGCGGATTGTCAGAAATTCATGGTTCGAATACTTTGCATCTCTATACAGTATATACAAAGATTCATGGAAGGGACTGCCTTGGACTCCTCCACTGCATGTGCCACCGGTGTGCTACCAGCGCAGCTTGGAGAAAGCGGGGGCCTATCGCGCAGCGGTGCACCAGTGTGTGTGTGTGTGTGTCACCCTTGGAGTCATAGGGATGCTTTTGCATTTGCTTTTGTTTTACAGCAGGGGGTGCCAGGGACCGTGCAAGTCTGGCACTAACAAAGACGCTTGCACTGGTCTGTGAAATCAATCCGGGACGCCGGATTGACGTACCTGCTTTGAGATGAACCTACGTAAATGCAAAGCTGTCTCATTCTTTGTTGTGCAGTAATTGTCTAGTGCTGACCTCACCGTCGTTGAGCTTTGGAGACCTTGACTTCAGAATATCAGCTCTTTCCTGAAACTTTTGGGCCTTCCGCTGGACGAACCTTTTCTTCCTTTTAGGCTTCCCTTCTTCTTCCTTTTAGGTTTCCTTACCTGTACTCTTAGGAACTGGAACCCTAGGCCGGCGTGTGGCGCCGCATTCAGTTCCGTACACAATATCTCAAGTGTGTTTGGCCTCGTGCCAACCCGGGATGAGCCCGCAGAGTGCCTCAGGTGGACCCGTTGAACGGGTGTACGTCGAACGTATCCATTGCCCGGATACAGAGCAGCTCGCAGCGAGCGTAGGTGGCCTAGGCCGTACGTCCGATGATTTTTGTCCCATCTTTGGAATTCCAAGTTGGCTTATGCCTTTACGTGACCGCAGCGGCCCAAGCTGGCTTAACGCCTCAACGTGGTCAGAGCGACCGAAGTACTTTTGAGGTTCATTGGAACCTGTCGAGCACTTAGCCCCCCCTTCTCCCCCTTCCCTCCCCTGTTCTTTCTTTGCTTTCTGGGGTTTTCCTGAATGCAATACTCAGGATCACCCCTCTCTTTCTTGGGTGTGTCCCTGGACGGTTGTTCGTAGCTGGGAACACCTTCCTTTCCTCTCACTTTCTCTCCCTCTCTCTTTCTTTCCTTCTCTCTTTCCTCTCTTCACCCTCTTCCCTGGGTGTCCCTGGATGCTTCGTCATAGCTGGGAGCCCTTCTTTTTGGTGTGTCCCTGGACGCATGTGTCGTAGCTGGGAGCACCTTTGTCTCCTTCTTTCTCTGTCTCTTCATCCTCATCCTTTCTTTCTCTTGCGCGCACTTTCGACCGGACCTTAGTTTGTGCACATACACGCACGCGTACTTTACTTACAGCAAGGTTCAGGTGGCCCAGGTTCGTTACAATGAGGTTTGGCTCATCGGTTGTCCCTCTTCACTTGGTTCCTTTTCATCGGCAACCACACACACCTTTGTCTGTCTTGTCCTTCTCATTTTCATCCGTCCCGTTTGCGTGCGCATGTGCTTACCTCCTTTCCGGGCAGGATGGAGGTCACACATGCCTCCCTTCGGGGAGGCGTGTGTGTGTGTAACCCTTGGAATCATAGGGATCCTTTTAGATTTCAGCAGGGGTCGGCGCGGAGCTTAAAATCTTGCCTCCCTTCGGGGAGGCGTGTGTGTGTGTGTCACCCTTGGAGTCATAGGGATTTGCTTTTGTTTTACAGCAGGGGGTGCCAGGGACCGTGCAGGTCTGGCACTAACAAAGACGCTTGCACTGGTCTGTGAAATCAATCCGGGACGCCGGATTGACGTACCTGCTTTGAGATGAACCTACGTAAATGCAAAGCTGTCTCATTCTTTGTTGTGCAGTAATTGTCTAGTGCTGACCTCACCGTCGTTGAGCTTTGGAGACCTTGACTTCAGAATTTCGGCTCTTTCCTGAAACTTTTGGGCCTTCCGCTGGACGAACCTTTTCTTCCTTTTAGGCTTCCCTTCTTCTTCCTTTTAGGTTTCCTTACCTGTACTCTTAGGAACTGGAACCCTAGGCCGGCGTGTGGCACCGCATTCAGTTCCGTACACAATATCTCAAGTGTGTGTGTGTGTGTGCGTCACACTCTGCTTCTAAGAGTTTTCCACAAGCAGGGGCGTGTGACACTCTTATTCTATCACACGCAACGAAGCTGTGGATAAGAGTGGGAAGGGAAACTTGGCCAGTTTCCTGTACCTGCGACGCAACTGTTATCAAGCTGTCCAATTTTGTGTTTTGCTTCCATGGTGGTTTCATGATACTCCCCGCAAACCCTTTTTCCTACAGCTGAGCTTGCTACCGCCGCGTTCTGCAGTCACGTGCAAACAATGTTGAACATTTCAGTTTTGCTGATTTGTGCCTTTCCGTTCCCTTATTCTTTTCCTCGGGGAATTGATGTAACTGCAAACCCATTGTCTAAGTGTGTGCTGCTGTGCCGTCCCACTTGGGTGCACAGTGTGATCCCCCGCAAGGGGGCGCTGCTTTCATTCCGGAGTATCGTGTAACTGATTCACTTTTTCTGCTTGCGTTGGATTCTCTTGACTGAGTTTCTTCTCAACCACTGTATTCCCGAAATTCAAACCGCCGGGTATACGGAAATTCGAAGCCGCCGGGCATACGGAGAATAAACCCCGACGTGCTCTCTACCCCAAACACCCCAACCCCCCCCCTCCCTCTAATTAAGGTAACAGAGGGAAATGGTACTCGATACACTTGTGTGTCGGTGCCTTTCCCTCTCTTGTCCCTTTTCTAGTCTACTCTACCCGGGCGGTTTAAGACAAAAGTCCCGCTCCCTAACTTTTGCACATAATTCACTTTGGGCTAAGTAATCAGTAACTCTAGAGTGTACACACACATGTACATACACCTCCCTGCCCCCCGTCAAGGGCTAAGTATTCACTTTTTGCTACTCCTATCTTTCTCTTGTGCCCTTTTAGCGCTGCTTCTTTCTCTTGCTTCTGAGGCTCTTTAGGTGCCTATCTAGGTCTTCCCCGAAAGGGCCGCACGGGCCGCACGGCCGAGTGTGTGTGTGTGTGTGTGTCACACTCTGTTTCTAAGAGTTTTCCACAAGCAGGGGCGTGTGACACTCTTATCCTATCACACGCAACGAAGCTGTGGATAAGAGTGGGAAGGGAAAGTTGGCCAGTTTCCTGTACCTGCGACGCAACTGTTGATCAAGCTGTCCAATTTTGTTTTTTGCTTCCACGGTGGTTTCATGATACTCCCCACAAACCCTTTTTCCTGCAGCTGAGCTTGCCACCGCCGCGTTCTGCAGTCACGTGCAAACAATGTTGAACATTTCAGTTTTGCTGATTTGCACCTTTCCGTTCCCTCATGCTTTTCCTCGAGGATTGATGCAACTGCAAACCCGTTGTCTAAGTGTGTCTCGTCTTTCAACAAACTTTGCCTGCTCGGTCCAGTCTCTGACTCCTCCAAAATTGCTGGTTGTCCATGAGCGCAGCTTGAATCAATGAACAAGTTACGTGTTTGCTGCAGCAGTTGTCCTGAGGCGCCGAGGGACACTCTCCGCAATCAAAAGAAGCCTGTCCAAAAAAAACATATTCGTATATTGCATTTTGCAGCCTCCAAAACTCCAAGCAGTCTATCGTCTCGAATTTCATGCGGCCTCATGGTCCATTATGTCCTGCGTGGACAAAATGTTTAGCTCTTCATGCGTCCTCGCCTGGAATATCCGCCAATTCGACAAGTGACAAGTCACTCGAAAGCAGCACTTCTCAGGCAAAAGAAGCATACCCAAATCACAACCACAAGGGTTGCTTTGAGAAGTTTCCTAAACGTGCTGAGGCCACACCAAAGGACCTGGGCTCTGCCTGAGGGCAAATGGCTTCACCATCACCTTCATCAAGGCAAGCTAGAAAAGCCTGTGAAAACAATGAACTGAACTTCGAGCAAATGCGGTGAAAAGGCCTGAAAGCAAAAAAGGCTCCACCAGCTGTGGCTGTGGATGCAGCTGAGGAGCGCCCTGAAGTTTCTCTTGGTTGACACCGTTGTAGAAACTATGGGCAAGCATTGTTTGTGATATTATGTCCTTCTTGTTTCTAAGAGCTTCTTGTTTCTACTAGTAAGGCACCTGTTACTACTAGTTACTAGCGTGGCACTTGTTCCTAGTAGCAAGCTTTGTTTGCCTTCTTTGCGCCTCATCTGCCCAGCACAAGGATGCAGCCCACAAATCGAAGGAATCAGCAGCCGCCATGAGTTACATTCTCGCTGGTCAAGCTGAACGACAGGTTAGCCTTTTTATATTTTTCCGTGTTGAGAATGTTTCAGCCAGAGGGCAGCAATTACATTCATAAGATTTGTAGCATGAGAATACCAGGTTCATTTCTTCATTCTGCAAATGCCGTAGCATGAAGCCAAAGCTGAAGCCAAAGCTCACCATGACAAGCCGGAACTGGAATTATGGACTGCCTGTAAATATGTAAGACTCGACTTAGAAATTGCCAAGCCCACAAGTTCAGACCTAAAAGTCACGACGGTGAAACAAGACTGGTCCTTCATAGAAAATAGAAACCCAGTCGTTCGGGGCATGGTCCTTCACACTGAAATGGCTTCATGTATGACCAGCTTTAGTGGAAACAAGAAAAAAGATACCCTTTTGAAAGGCAAAAGAATCAAACAATTACGTGCAGGATTGAGAAAAGATATCCCGGGGGATCAAAAGGAATTATCAGTGAGATCAGGTTTGAAAAATCCTAACCAGGGTTGAAAGAGAGAACGAAACGGAACACCTAAAAGAATCCGATTTCGTGGCAGGCCAGCAAATAGAAATACCATGAGCAGATTCGGCGGCTGAGGGGAGGTCACAGTGCCTCCCCTCAGCAGCCAACAAAACCAACAGCGCACATAACCAAAGGTCTGCAGTTTTTGCTTCCTTCCTTTTCTTTCCTTTCCGTTCCGTTCCGTTCCCTTCCCTTCCCCTCCCCTCCCCTCCCCTCCCGTCCCGTCCCGTCCCTTCGCTTCCCTTCCCTTCCCTTCCTTTCCCTTCTATATATATATATAATATATATAATTGATCCTTATAATTGTTGTTGGTCCTGATAAAAAAATGATTTTTTGATCCTGAATCCTGATGACTTCTTTTGATACTCATGCCTTCGAAGCAGTCTTCCTTGCAGATCTGAAAAGGGTCAAAAGAATGTCATGGAGAAAGGAATTATTGTTGGCATGTTTTTAGTTACTAAGGGTTACTAAGGCATCTGAGTCCAAGAGGCAAGTCCATCATTGGTTGCATCAACAACAAAGGCAACCACAGCGACAACTAGCTATCCGTCTGCCCTCAACATCAAAAGACATGCCAAGCAAGGCAGTAGAGATGCAAATTCCATCATTCTCTACAATTTCAACAATGATCCAATGCCCTTCTTCGCTTTTGCCAACTGCAAATATAACCTTTCCATTGAGGAAAGGGATTTTAGACAAGAGCTAGGGGTTGTACCCAGTTTGTACAACAAGAACATGGACGCTAACCACTGCAATGTGCGGCTTTCTGGTTAGCTCTCTGAGGAACTATGCGGACTCCTCTGTACTGAAAAATGATGAACGCTTGGACCAAAGGCTCGCGTTGACTACAATTCAATGAGCATACAATGGGAGAATACTTCTGAGCCAAGGTGATGATTAAAATAGTAGGTGATGACAATCTTGATCGGTCCCAAGTGTCATCCAGCAAATGCAGTATCATGCAAGATTCTCCTCAATGATTTGCTTAGTATTCTTTTCACTCCTATCTTTACTCAACACCAAACTTGCCAAGCCCCTTGGGTCTTTGAGCAATTGAACAGAACGAACCATCGTAGTGGCTACACTTTCATCATCCATCACTCGTTGACGATCCCAGGCTGCCGAGCTTTGCAGGTCTCGGGAGGTCGCTCGCAGGAAAAGTGCCATTGCTTCGCATTCGCTGGACGTCAACTTCAGTATCAAGGTGTCAGGACCATGTCCACTGTGCGGTCCAAGTCTTACACGCAAAATGGAGTTCAGAGAGTAGCGCGCCAAGCCAGGAGTTCCAGGATCGACGGTGGCCTCCAGAACATAAATGAAAGGAATACTCCATGCATGTTCTGACGCTGAAGTCTCATGCAAAGGTTCGAGTCTCATTTCACTGAGTTCTTTGTTGAAGGAGGCATGAAAATCCCCTGCACCATAAATCATGGATGATACTTCAAGCTGTCGGCCGCACAGGAACGATTGCACCAAATTTGCTACTGCCTCCTTCATTGTATCCTTGGTACCTGCATCATCAAATGTGTTTGAGTCGTCCAACTCTTTGGCGGCGAAAGCTTGTACAAAAGCCAAATCTCGTGTCTTCCATCTGTCAAGCTCGTTGTCAGCATTTTTACAACATCCACGGAGTTGCACCTCCTCATCGTCCACGCCCAAGCGAACTCCACAATTGCCCATGGCGTTCGTTCAAGCACACCCTATGATGTGTCCTTGTTGCAAACAAAAGTGTCTTGTCTCAATGTCCAATAGACGAACTAGCTGGACCTGTCACCATGCACTGCCATTTGCCTTCTCGTGTGGTCTCAAACAACAAAAAACCCTCATGCCACGAAACAATGTCAATTACAGGTAGAATGAAAAGAAATCACGCTCATTAAATTGTTGCGCATGCCATGTTCTGAATCCTCAGCCCCCAGCTGAAAAGAGCCTGAGATGTTCTGGAAGTGTGATTGGTGGAGTCCAATGACCTCAATTGGCAAGTGGTCTCGCCCATGGCCCATTGATCTTTGTTGATCCCCCTCATGCATTTCAGGTTTCAAAGTCAAAAAATGTCGTATTCCCGAATCGTCCACCTTTTACCAGCCTTCCGGCGACTCATAATATTCATATGTTGGTTCCACCGCAAAAATGTTCCGAAAATTGAGGATCACCATTGCTACCTCATGAAGTTGGATGTGAAAGTGTTTCCCCTGGGTCAGGTGTTCTCTTTTGGCCCACTTGACCTGGGTTTGAAACTGAAGTCAATCCTTTGACATAAATTTGTCAATGTCCGGTGTAACAGTGCGCAATTCGCTGCAAATAACACGCTCATGGATCTGGAACAAGTTCTGGAGCAAGTTCCTGAACAAGTTCCATGGCAAGTTCCGGGATACTGGGGCCCACATTGGCGACCCCGGAATCCACTGCGTTTTTTTGGTGCCGCCAGTGGACCAGATTTTCACACGCATCGTGATCCACCTTTCTAACTCCAAAAGTCGAGCTATGACGGTTGGAGTCCACTTCGCCCCAAACGTTGAAAAACACGTGGAATGAGCCCCTCCGGAGTCGGCGGAGTGACAATCATGAGCAATTCCCCTTGTCCTGCACATGGAGTCGACACTCCGGCTTCAGAAACATTTTTTTTGAAACGACAGAACCTACTTGGACGCACAAACGCAAAAGTAGCACCGCGAAAACAGTTATTTCTGACGACCAATCCAAGCACTTCTGCGACCGTTGTTCTGGACACAGGCGGAATGCCGTGACTGGAGTCACTTGTTTTTGAAGCCAACAAGATGGAACCCACGAACCCGAATGCAAACACGTTCGAAAAACTACATATGTCCAAAGGACACTCTTGTAAGACACTCTTGTGGGACACTCTTCTGGGACACTCTTGTAGGACACCTCTTGTGGGTCACTCTTGTCGGAAACTCTTGTGGGACACTCTTGTAGGACACTCTTGTGGGACACTCTTATAGGACACTTTTGTGGGACACTCTTGTGGGACACTCTTGTAGGACACTCTTGTAGGACACTCTTGTGGGTCACTCTTGTAGGAAACTCTTGTGGGACACTCTTGTGGGACACTCTTGTGGGACACTCTGTGGGACACTCTTGTGGGACACTCTTGTGGGACACTCTTGTAGGACACTCTTGTGGGACAGTCTTGTAGGACACTCTTGTGGGACACTCTTGTGGGACACTCTTGTGGGACACTCTTGTAGGACACTCTTGTCGGAAACTCTTGTGGGACACTCTCAAGGGACACTCTTGTGAGACACTCTTGTGGGACACTGTTGCGGGACACTCTTGTGGGACACTCTTGTGGGACACTCTTCCAGCTCCCCAGATACTCCGCGTACTAAAGTTGTACTAGGTCGCCAGTTCTCAGCTTCCAGCTCCACAGATTGCTCCGCGTACTAAAGTTGTACTACAAAGTCGCCAGTTCTCAGCTTCCAGCTCCACAGATTGCTCCGCGTACTAAAGTTGTACTACCAAGTCACCAGTTCTCATCTTCCAGCTCCCCAGATACTCCGCGTACTAAAGTTGCACGACAAAGTCGCCAGCGCTCGCCTGCACTTCGCGCGCTCGACACGCACGATCTCCGCAGAGGGTTGCGGGCAACGGACAAATCGCACACTCGCCTGCATTTGGCGCACTCGACACGCACGATCTCCGCAAAGGGTGGCGCGGGCGCCGGACAAATCGCACTCTCGCCTGCATTTCGCGCACTCGACGCGCACAATCTCCGGAGAAGGTTGCGCGCGTATGGGACAAATCGCACTCTCGCATGCATTTCGCGCACTCGACGCGCACGATCTCCGCAGGTTGCGCGCGCATGGAACAAATCGCACTCTCGCCTGCATTTCGCACACTCGACACGCACGATCTCCGCAGAGGGTTGCGCGTCAAGTCTCGAAAACGAGCGTTTCGTGCGAGACTTCCTCAAAAACTCACACGTCAAAGTCTGCAAAACGAGCGTTTCGTACGAGACTTCCTCCAAAGTCAAGCGGAAACACCCATTGAAGCACACACATCACGCAGCCCTGCCAAGCAGTTTCGCGATTCCAGCCCCTCCAAACAACATCCGCTCACACGCCAATCCCAATGTGACAGCGACATTCACCTCTACCACAACTTGCAACCTCACGATTCCTGCGCCTGCCACGAACCTTTCCGCGCCCACATCTAACGCGCACAAAGTACTGCGCCTGCCACGAAATGTCACCTCCGTCACACCTCGCAACCTCACGATTCCCTGTGCCTGCCAGGAGAATCGCACTTCCACGCCTCAAAACCCGCACAAAGTCCTGCGCCTGCCACGAAAAGTGACAATGTCATCTCATGTGAGCTTCAACAAAATTTGCACAGCACCACACGTTTGGAATGATTTCGACCCGTTCTGAGCACACTTCCATCTTTTTTTCCACGAGTACGGACGCCGTGTGGGCATGGTGCCCAGGTCATCATTGAAGGAAGGGAAATACAGTCAGATGGTGGAGAAAAGGACAAAGACAACCCAACCAACAAAAAACAACAGCCAACCACAGCCCAAAGGCCGAGTCTCCACCATCCTGTAGTCTTTCCTCTGTGCTAGGGTGAAACAAGTGAGACGATGACTGCTGACTATCTATGGGCCTGAATTCACGAAAGAAGAGCATGGCAGCGAGGGTTTGTGCTCTAGCAAAATCTCAAAGAAGTCGTCAAATGGACTTCACATCACTATTACCAGTGACCAGCGGCCACTGCACAGAGTGGCAAAAACATGGTCACGATGCAAGTCCCGGGCATTGGTATGCTCTAACGCAGGTTAGATCCTTATCTAAGTGGATCAGTGGTTGCTATGCAGATCATGCCGTGGAAAATACCTTTCTTGTAGCACAACCCATGCAACTGGTTGCACATACAAGTCAAGAGGCATAGTAGTTGGTAGTGTTCAGACAGTGGCAGCCATAGCAAACGACGAAAGCCTGCAGGTAAGGGTGCGAAAGTCTCACCCCCCCGAAGGGAGGTCATCTCGGCACCCTTCGGCACACAAAGGTGCCAAAACGGGGTGTTCCCTAACTTCGAGAAATGCTGCGTCATTGCAAAAATTGTTCTGTTGCGTGCAAGGCCCGTGTGAAACAGGTGAGACATTAAACCTATCCTAGCATGGTATCTGTACCTCTTTGTACAAAATTGGAAATGTCGGACATCAACAGAGGGAACTAAGGTTCCCCCTGGGCATCCTCCATTGCCACTCTCTACCACCCGCCTGTTGGGAACGAGGAGCTAAGGCTCTCATTCCTATTGGCTCACTGTATTGCAAATGGCGAAAAGAGGTTGGCGACCCTACTTAGTGTTTGCACTTTTCACTTGCCGTAGCTTCCTGGCGGTGTGCTTATGCACCATTCCCGCTGCGAAAGCATTGCTGGTCTGTGGTGCAGGTTCTAGAAAGTCTTCTCTCCATAGATCACTGGCATCGGCCGGCAAAACTCGGTGCCATTCGGACTGGTCGAGTTGCCCACATTTGTCAAAGGCATTGGGTCGGGCATATGTCCCTCGCCATGTTTTGCTTTTTCTTTGTTTGCATATTGCTCGAAATTGCGTGCTACCTGCAAAAGCGCATCGCGCCATGTAAAGCAGGAGTGGAAACCTCCTGTAGAGAGGCACACTTGAGGAAGGCTTCTTATGCCGTGATCCTCAGTTTGGGACGGGTCAACAGTTTGCAGCTGTTGGCGGCTCGCACAGGCGGTGTAGCCTATCCTGTTGAAGTCTGTCGGCAAGGCAAGTGCGACAATGCCCGCCTCCAGAAAGCAGCAGTCCGGCAAGCATCGGTTTGGGTGCGCTGCATCCGGCTCTGGCATACCCAAATTGATGTGACTCAGAGCTGTGCATGCTTGAAAGCTCGCGGCCTCAGTTGGGCTTGGGGGGCTAGCCGATTGCTAGGGCATTGAGCTGTGCCCTCCCTTGTCAAGGAGCGACACTATTCGAACACTTTAGCGCCGAAATGCTTGCAGCCGAAGCAAACTCTACTCGTGGAATTTGGCACCAGCTGAGTGCACCATGCAATAATCTGACGACTCTGTCTGGCAAGTGGACGATTTGCAACTGTCGACAGCTCATCCACGCAGCCTCCGACAATCTTGACACTGCTCTCCACGAGTGCGTGACGGATCCCTGTGCAAAAGGAAACGGCTTGTGGGAGATGTGTGTCATTTCTACCACGCGGCACCGGATTGCCTTGACTCCCCTGTTTCGATTCGACCGCGACGTTTTTTCACCCCCCTGTTTCACGGAAGGCAACTATAGCAAATTATCTAAGGTGAAAAGTACTTTGATGTGACTTCTGGCCTACTCTGGACTCGAGCTAAGGCGCGCGCCTAGAGTCTTGATGGGTGACGGTGAGACCGCGATAGCTGTGGTCAGAGAGGCATGTCTTCATCCAAGACCAGGGGTGTATCCCATGTCCGGGATCATATGCAGTCAGAGTGGCCACCTCATATCTGGACAAATGGCAAAAGCATTCTCTTCAGCATAGACTCCTCGCCATTTGTGCCTTCCTGGCATCTTAGCGAGCCTCTTAAAGGCAATGCAATCCAAGAAAGCCCTACTTCCAATATATTTCAGTGAGGGCGGGATGGCAAGCTCAACAAGGGCTGCACAGTTCATAAAGGCTTTAACTCGAATTGTATGGAGAGTAGGCGGAAGGAGAACTTCTCTAAGGCTAGTGCACTGTACAAAGGTGAATTCCGGAATTTCTTCAACGTTGGTGTTGCAGAGGTCAACCCTCTTAAGCAGTCGGCAACTGTCACACGCATGCGCTCCAATAGTTGTAAAATACTTCGTGAGAGCAAGTGTGGTGATTCCCGCAGAGCTAAGACAGCCTGGCGCCAGCTCACTGGTCCTGGCCTGCAGTGTTGACCCTCGGGGGGATGGAAGCTCACCCAAGGTGAACTCAGCAAGGTTGATGCACCCTTGAAAGAGATAATGCCCGAGCTTGGCTTCGGTGCTGAACCTATTTGCAACCCCGTCCGATGCATACACCCATTGTAAGGAGCAGCATTCCGCAAAGGCTTTGTATCCAAATTCCCCGCAACCAGGAGCCAAGACACTGTTTAGTAGTTTGCAGTCGCGAAAGGCGTTGTCGGAAATGCCTACCACAGTGGCCGGCAATTTGACAATGCGGAGCTGCCGACAATTTTGCCACGCCTCTGCCTCAATGAGCCTGATACAATCCATGACCGGCTCCATTTCAGGGGGAGTGCTAAGCCTGGATGAGTCGTCGAAGCTCCATGTGTGGCAGACTACTTTCATTTACTGTTTGAGCCAAAAGCTTCTGACTCTGCTCATTGACTGTTCCTAGGGCCGGAGATGTTTCCTAAAGACAGATGCCAAGGCACCCACCACCTCACATGGACTGGCCCGATGTTAGGAAAATTCGTTATATAGCTCTTCGTCAAAGGCATCCGAATCGGGTCCTTCAGCGGGGAGCAGCTCCACCCACAGTGGTTTTTCAAATTCGTCACACATAAAGAAAGCATTGTGCTCTGCCTGCACACACTGCCGCAGAAAGCACGGATGCCGATGTCACTGAGCTCTGTCGGGATGACCACTTCTTGGAGCACAAGACAATTAAGAAAACTTCTTTGCCAATTTGCGTTGGTCGGGGTGGAAGTGCTGCTCCCTTGGTCGAGTTGGTGT